CCTGGTGGTGTTGGGGGGGCTGGCGAAACTTCAGCTTCAGACCCTCCAGCGTCTCCTTCAGCGCCTGCTGCTGCTGCTGCTTGCACTCGTGGAGGAACTGCTTCCACTCCAGCAAGGGCTTGTGCTGCGCCAGGAGCCTGCTGGGGATGTCCTGCCCAGGGGAGAGCACGGGTACTCTGCCCACGGTGCTGCTGCAGGATGCAGGCCGTGGCCTCAGGGAGCTTTCTGTACCGTGGACCTCTGCAGGCTCACGGCCTGGAGAAAAGCAGCTCCATCCCTGCCCTGGGTTTTACCAGAGGAAGGTTCTTCCCTTACCCAGAGGCAGGAGCACTGTGCCGCAGCCTTGGCCTTCTCCATCTTCTCCATCACCATGGCCTCATGCTCTTACTGGGACTTGGCGGCCTCCAGTTTGGCACCTGGGGTGGGAGGGAAGCGGCAGGGAAGGGACGCCTGCGGCTGCACCTGCATCCTCCCCCCTGCATCCCACCAGGCACTCGCCCACCACCGGCTCCTCTGGCTGCAGGGGTGGGAAGTCCTCATCAAGCTCATACCTGGCTTGCTGCAAAGACGTTCATTGTCACCCCCTGAGCTGCTGGCACCCTGGGGGAGCTGGCCCTGCAGCCGGCCCCACCCATGGGCTCTTGCCACTGATGCCCGCCCACAGCCCTGACTGCACTGGGCCCCCCCCAGGCACTCGCCCACCACCGGCTCCTCTGGCTGCAGGGGTGGGAAGTCCTCATCAAGCTCATACCTGGCTTGCTGCAAAGACGTTCATTGTCACCCCCTGAGCTGCTGGCACCCTGGGGGAGCTGGCCCTGCAGCCGGCCCCACCCATGGGCTCTTGCCACTGATGCCCGCCCACAGCCCTGACTGCACTGGGCCCCCCACCAAGCTGTTCTCGGCTGCTTTCCCATTACTTCCTTCAGCCAGAGCCGGTCGATGGCCACTTTCTGGGTGGCCAGACAGCGGGAGCAGAGCTGCCTCTCTGTGAGGAACTTGGCCTCCATCTTGGCCATGGCCTCCTGGAGCATGTCAGAGAAGGGAGAAGTGGCTGCTAAAGCTGCGATGGACCTCTCGGAGACAGCGGAGCTTCTGGCATGGCCAGCCTCGAAAATGACACCCCCTACGGCCCCGTGGAACCAGGCTGGGAGGGAAAGTGGCCGAGGATGGCTCGAGGATGGAGCGTGCTGCCTTCAGCATGGCTGGTGCTTTGCTCAGGCTGTCCCCAGCCCCATGGCAGCCTGGCCCAAAAGCAAGATGCAGGAGGAGCTATGGAGGCATCTGGCTGCTGTGGGCAAGCCCAGCTCCAGCTCTTTTGCCCTTTAGTGCAGGAAGATTCAGCAGCGCGGGCGCGTGGTGCCGTCTGTGGGCTCTGGAGCATGGCAGAGGGCCCTGGAGTGCCCTGGACCATCTCACCTTGGTGACCTGGGCAGACTTCAGGGCAACTGAGGCCACCCCACACAGGAGGTCCAGGTGCAGGAGCGGGGGACATCCCCTGCTGGGACTTGACATCCTCCAGTTTGATGCCTGGGATGGGAGGGAAGTGGCCAGGAAGGATGCCTGCGGCTGTGCTTGCATCCCTGCCTCTGCATCCCACCAGGCACTCGCCCACCAGCGGCTCCAGAAGCAGGAAGTCCTCACTGAGCTCGTAGCTGGCTTGCCACAAGGATGTTTGTCACCCCGTCAGCCCAGCTCTGGCTCTTTTGCTCTGTAGTGCAGGAAGACTCAGCAGCGCGGGCGCGTGGTGCCGTCTGTGGGCTCTGGAGCGTGGCAGAGGGCCCCGAGGTGCCCGGACCAGCTCACCTTGGTGACCTGGCACAGACTTGACAGCGCCTGAGGCCATGAGTTGCAGCTCCACATGGTAGAGCTGGGCTGTCCCCCTCCGGAGGTGGAGGTGTGTGGAGGCAGGTGGGCCAGCTCCTGGGACACAGGGAGCCACAGTGCATCACCCCACCGCACCCCAGGGTCCCCTGAGTGCTGTGACCAGGGATGGAGGGAGCAGGAGGACCTCACCAAGCCAGCCAGGAGGGCCTCCCACCAGCGCAGCCCCTGGGGCATCTCCTTGCCTTTGCAGGGGGAGCTGGAGGAGGAGCTGATGTTCTTCAGGATGTCCTGCACTGCCAGGTCCAGGGCAGTCACCTTTTGCCCAGCGTGCACCTTGGCCAGCATATTCTTGGTGGTGTTCTCCAGATGGTGAACAAGCTGGGGCAGAGACGGGAGCGGGGGACGTGGGGTGATCCAGCACACCGAGCCCAGCGCCAGCCCAGGGAAGGTGGGGATGGGGGCTGGATGAAAGCCGCCCGTGGGTGCTGCCACCCCAGCAAGGGGTCCTGGGTGCCTGCGGCTGGGGGGGC